AGAATGATTGATCTTTTGTTGAATGTTGAATGAATTAGGTGATGAATGTTTTTGCTAATTGATGTTGCTACTTCTTTTGTTATTGTGCCATTGATACATGTTTCAGGTTAACCGATATTAACCAAATACCCGAAAATAACCGATTATTTTCGGGTATTTGGTTAATATTTCAGATTCGGATAAATTCGGTTTGATAACCTAAAAACCGATATTAACCGAATTCCGAACCGACCCGAACCGAATTTAAATTCGGTTATTTTCGACAAAATTTTCCAATTCCGAAGTATCCGAAAAACCGAAGTATCCGACCCGAACCGAACCGAATAACCGAAATCGCAGGGCTAGTAACGTGTTTGAAATAGACAAAACGAGAATTGGTTTTCTTTTGGACTTGAAATAAGAGGCAATAATATTTGGGCTTGTCCTTTGGGTTATTCACCATTGTATATGGGCTTTCTCTCGTGAAGGGTAAGAGAGGATACTGCAAAACAACACGGATTAATAGTGTCAACTGCCAAGTGTGTTTATTAGTGAACACGGTAATATAATGCTTGTTTAATGGTTGTGGGTTTGGAACATATATATATCACTAAACGTTAAAACAAACACAACACAAATATGTCTCCGTACGAATAAGAAGAATTTTTTTTGATAACCGAGTGTCCTGGCTTCACCACGTGGTCCAGATTAGAGATTGTTCTATGCGTGGACGCATACCCGAAGGTGGATACTAGCTAGGTGAACACGATCTTCGTTCTCGAGCGCTGAAGAATCCACATGTAATTTACCTAGGTGGCAAAACTCACAGCTGTGAGCCCTTTACCATCTGGGCTAGAAACTCCAGTTAAATAAAAAGATTTTTGTGAACTTAGAGTAACATTATCGATGGTCCATTCGTATTGTCTCTTAGCGGAAAAATCTCTTATCTTTTAACTAAAAACGTTAAGGGATATCCGAATGATGCCCTTAATGATCACTAATATTGGAGCTTTCATGCATAAGATATCTAAGTTCGCCATCAACCCAACGAATATAGTTGTAGCTAGCACATGGTACTACTAATCACACAGAAAGTTTGAAAGCAAACAAGACAAAGTAAGTATGCCATGGAACTTGAGATGCAAACCTTTCAAGATCTTGCAAATGCCATCATTTGTCTGATCTATGACGCTTTCTGGGGAACATTTCATTTCACCCACGACCAAAAAGTTACCAAATGACACTATTACTCCAGGTCTAGATATTTCGTATTTAAACCGGAATAACGGAAAGGATATACTCTGTAAATCTGATTTATTCTCTCAAGATACAAATAACTATCAGTTCAAAAAAAGATGCAGATAAATAAACAAAAAAAGACTTACTTTTGTGCAAAGAAAAAAAATATTTTTTGAGAGAATTAGTTAATCAATTAGTTTTTTGAAACAAAAAGATACAAAACTAACTTGAAATCGGATGATCTTTGGAATACACACCAATGTTCCAAATGGCTTTAGTCAAGATTGCTATGGCACATGTTTATTTTATTATAGTGAACATAGTAACTTAAACATTTATATTTGGTTTAGCGCAAATATAGAACTAGCTAAATTCAAGCAGTGAGTAAAAAAAAAATTTCTGGTCTAAATGTAAAAAAGCAGTGAGTAATTCGAATCTTTCTTGCTTGCCCTTCTTTCCAACAATATCATGAAACAACCTACCAATTTCGCTACAACATTGAGAATATTACATGTAAAAATGTGGCTGTTAAGTAGTCACGGAATTTTACGATTAACTTGGGAATGCCAAGTTGGGATGATGAAGAAATAATGATGTAACTTATTAGTCAGTAACGTTTGTGACGATACTACATGTAATGTACTTGCTACTATTTAGACAAACATCACTGGAATATATCGAGGATGGCCGAACATCTCTTAAAGAGAAATCTTGAGACAGTACACACAAAAAAAAAAAATCTTGAGCAACTAACAATAAGTACAATCCAGTTATGTTGTCCTTTTTATGTAAGTGATTAAATCATCAATTGAAGCTTATCTAATCAATAACTCACAGTAATCAAAATCATTTATTAGATAGCCGACTTCAACATTAACCGTATAAATATAGTTAAAATATGTCAAATTCATCAAGACGGGAAGAAAATGGTTTATGCTATATGTGGAAACTGGAAAGTACAGCTTAAGGCATTAGGACAAGAACAATGCTTCAAGCATATAAATGAACAAAGATAGAAGATAGTAAACCCAATACTTCCACGTCTATTTATACTTGTAAATTCTAAACCCCTTTTATGTTTGTGACCGACTCGCCATGTGATTTTTGCTTTATAATTCACATGGGAAGTCGTCAATTTCCACATGATAAACGCGTAGGCCTAGTAAAAATAATAAAAATTGTGGCTATTCTTTAAATTCAAAATCCAAGCTGAGATAAAATGTAATATAAGTATATTGGTAGTTTCATAACAAATATAATGTACCATGGAAACTGGGTATAACTGAGATACTGGAGACTGACCTGAGCTGTAAATTTAGTTATACATTGAGATTTGGACAAGATGAATAAGAAGATAAAACTTCATTTTGAGATAACATGTTAAAAAAATCTTACATCAAAAAGTAAATCTATGACATGGCCTACTACACATTTATTTGCGAAAAGAGACCTACTACATTCATTTGCTTTTGGTACTGAGGGGAAAACAGTTACATGTTATAAGCATGAATTCGTCGATTGTGTAACCAGGCGTACATAGGACAAGCCACCCAAGCTGTTGACTATAGTATCTAGTATAAGGAGGTATTTTCAGTTTATTTTCCTATTAATGTATATAGATAAATAAAATTGATAGTTTTATAGTTAGAAGAATGTTTGTTAGGCATTTTTAGTTATATTGTCATGAGAGCATCATGTTTGCTTGAAATTTCTTTAAACAAGTGTATGCATTTATAAATAATTGGTGATTATATTTTTATGGAACTATTTTTCGATACCAAGAGAATATTATCATTATACACAAGAAGCTTTTCAACTTTTTTTAAATGCCTGTGATTCAAATATTTGAATATTTGAAATTTTTAAATGATTCTGCAGGAAAAATGTAAAAAAAAAACCTATATTTCATTCTATTGTTTATAAAAATTTAAGTTTTAAAGTTAAATACCATTTCATCAGTCTTTTTCTTTTATTTTCAGAGTACTTTCATGAAAATTTATATTATTTTGTATTTTAATTTATTTGTAATTTTGGATATCCCAACTATTTATAGGAGCATACCTTTTTTTTTTGGGTCAACGGAGCATACTTAAATTGGCTTAGGGCAGTATAACTTTAGAACGGCACTGTGTGTAACTTTATCTTACGATTTGATATTTGATCTAAAAACTTTATTTATTCAATAACAAATCATCACGAATATTTCATAACTTAGTTCTTTTGAGATTCCGAGAGCCAGTGATCAATATGTCTTTCACTTATGTTTTTAACATTGAGAAGTTTAAAACAAAAATTAAATATTTGGAATTTGAATGACGATCGACGTAAAGACCAGACTGAAAAAGATAATGCATTAACTTGGTACATTCCTTGTTCCTTGCTGTCATGCACAATTTTTTTGTTCAGTTTCTTTTTAACGCCGTTATTATTCATGATCTCAATTTAAAACATAAAAACAGTTTGTTTTTTTTTCATTGTTCCTTGTTTTTAGTTGTATTTCCGCTTTTTTGAACCTTTTAAATATATGAAAGACCTTTATAAGAAATAGTTCTTTGCAGTTTTATATCAATTTCACCCAAAAATGAAGACGCTTTTTTCCTAAATAATTTTACTTTTTTATGTTTTTCTAAATTTATCCTTAAAAAAATGAATTATCAATTATTCCCATTCTAGCCAATGCATAGAGAAGAGAAAGTGGAGCTTGGATTTATCCTCTACACATGCTTCGTTCGGACAAAATGTGTCGTTGGCTAAAGACTTAAAGTTAAGAAGTTCGGTAAAGCTTAAATGCTTTTTGCCGTCTTGCTATAGTGCTTGCACTTCCCTACCTAACTTCATGTCCCATTGTCCAACTATTCTATCCGATTTATGCAGATAATAAATCTACCCATCAATATACATACTTGCTTCATTATCATATCAACTTATATATAATATATATACGGCTCAACTACTCATTACGTTTCTAGGCTCATCGATTCTTATTTTTTATACATTTTCATCCCATGTTTGTACCTCTTCAGATGTAAATATTTACGGATTTTGACGCATTGATACAAATCAGTGATAGTGAACCATTTTCTAGATTTTTTTATTTATTTAAACAAAGACTATATCTTCCTTTGACAAAAAAATAAGTCGATATCTTCGTCTTGAAGGTTGTGGTTTTGGTTAGTGGAGTTAGGCTTACGTCGGGTTCTGCATGTTGAATGGCGATGCCCAAAAATGGATAAAAATTGTTGAATAAAGGCACCGTGAACTGTACCAAAAGCAATCTATTTCCAGCTGGGACACTTGTCTTCATGCTATTGGGGAAATTAGGTTCCATATGCTTATGTCATGTGATATGTAAATGCATCGGTTCACATGTATATGTATAGACACGCCTAACTCATGCGTATCTGTTCTAACGTTATACAGAAAATAATTATGTATTATTTTTTTAAGAATTTAACTATGTATTAACTGTACGAATATGCTATCTTTTCATTCAAATGGGTTATCGTTATTGGTTAACGGATAACTGTATCAGTCTGGTATAAGCTTAGACGTTTTTAATAGTTGATTAAGATGTGTGAAAACCTCCAAAATACATATCACTATGAAACAGAGAACAAATAAACAAACATTTATCTTGAAATCTATAAATCATATGCAAAAACTAGTCTGTGTTCTCATCTATACATGACACGAACATTCCCACGACAAATTATTTAACTAGTACAAATATAAAGCCGGGAAATAAATGACCCCATCCAGTTTTATTTATGTATAGCAGCATCAAACGGGGTGCAATACAGTTCAAAATATATATATCAAAGATTATGATCATTAATATTTTAATATATAAATTATATCCCCAAACCTCGAAACAACGTACGAGGCAAAAACCATATACATGTCACGTACTAATCACAGTACTAAAAATCACAAATCTCAGAGTGATATTCCATATTCTGTTTTCGGTCGAGACTATACTTGATTAGTCAGTTACCATTGAGTAGATGCATTGATGACCAGATATCATCCATGCCCCAATAGTTTTCACCGGTTTGGTCATCAACAGTCATCGGCACCGGATATTCTGAGGTCGTCGTAGCCGTAGTCACCGGAGCCACAGGCGCAGAGTAGTTGCCATAGTTGAACTCCATATTGGTGTGTTGATACGACGTCGTTGTAGGAGAATAAGTCTCCATTGCATGATCTTGTGCACAAAAGACATTATGGCCCGACGTGCTTGCAGCTTGATCGTTGATTTCTGAACTCTGAGATCCAACGGACGACGTTGCAGTTGCTGCTACATCGGTTTGTTTGATGTATTTTTGTATTCTTGTCCTCCAGAAATTTTTGATCTCGTTGTCGGTTCTTCCTGGAAGGTGTTTAGCGATTTTTGACCACCTGATAATATATTTAAGATAATTAATGACATGATAATTTATATAAATATAAGCATAAATATAAGCATAACTAAGATGATGAGCTAATGATTGTTGTGGGGTTATAAGTCTAATTGCGTCTATTTCAGTTATGCCTTTTCTTGTTGTCAGGAGGCTTTATAATTTTGTACACATGTACTATGTTTGGATCTTTTTCAAGCCTTATAAAGTTTATCGCTTATCCGTTTGGTAAAACCGTTACTTTTTTATGTTAAAAGGGTTTTATAAAGTGTAATTTTCTGACTTAGTAAAAGCCTGCTATCTTATGAATAAATTCTCAAGATGTAAAAAATGAGTTCTCTGAAAAAATATTGAAAAAGTAATAGTAGAAAGTCTACATCATGAATTATGAAAAATTTAGAACCGAATAAAATCAGGCTGATAATAACTTCACCTCATACCTAATAGGCTCATACTCATATCTGTAATTAGTATTACCAAAAGGAGTTAGCTTTCCATAAAATGATAAACTAAATTGTACTTACTTAAAAATAAAAATCAGATAAAACAAACAGACAAGGAAATAAATAAAGCCGCGTAAATCTTTAAGAAACGTGGGAAATCAGTTGAATAATTTGCGGAAACTCTGTACTTTATAAATCACATAAAAATATCGGGACAAGTGTAACCACGAGTTCGGGAGAAATACGCACGAGGTTTTCATGTTGTTTTGATAAAACACACGAGGTCTAATGTTAGTGGCTTGAAAAATTCGACATGTGCAGAAAACGAGAACTGACGGCCAAGAAAAAAAACTTCGATCAAAGATTGTCACACAGGAATTGAACGTTTTTTGTTGCTTTAATCACTAAATGTATTGCTTTATTGTCTTTTCAAAGATCTACGTGGCTATATATAGCCTCAAGAGTATATAAATGATTCGAAGTTCGAGTATTTTTGTTTGAGAAAGAAAGTTAGAAGATTTTGCCTTTGTTCTTTCTCTTGTTCTTTCGATACACATAGTGCTTGTGTATCTATCTATGTAATTTTTATATAGTCATTTATGTAAATTAAAACTTACCTGTTTCCCCACTTAGCATGAAGTTCCATGATGACAAGTTGCTCCTCAGGCGTGATGTTTCCACGTCGCACGTCAGGGCGGAGATAGTTCAGCCACCGGAGCCGGCAACTTTTCCCGGTGCGTTTTAGACCTATATATACGTTTATTTAATCAATCATCACAGTAAATATTTTTTAATAAGGTCGCAGTCAAATATTGTTCATACATACTTGCATATCCACATATATATGTATAATATATAAATCATGATCATTTATATAATAGGTACTTATATTTTACATGATTTTCATTCATCACTAGGCCTATTTTTTTTTTTTTTTGTCAGCCGCCCATTTATTCTAGATCAAGACTAGGCCTATCTAAGAGCATTTATTTACACATAAAAAAGTCTCTGGATGTTTCCTTTGATTTAGATCAAATTTTAACATGGAGAGAATACATTAAGAATTTTTTTATATCAAAGAATTGAAGATATAGATAATAAGTTAATAAGTATGATTTATATATGTACATAATAACTATACAAGAGAAAATATAGATTATTGTATGATACCTTTGCATGTTATATATGAAGAAACCCTAGTTCATATATTAATACATAACGTAAAAGAAATCTATTTAGATTCATACATAGTACATACATACATATTGTGACTAATTATAATTGAAGATCTTTTGATGTGAGATTAAAGATCTTTGAAACGAAATTAATTGAACCTGCAGATTTGGCTAGCGAGTTCCAAACGCCATCGCCGTGGTTGGCAATATAGTTGATAAGAATAAGATCTTCTTCCATCGTCCATGGTCCTTTTCTCACCTCTGCTTCTCCTGATGATCCCGAACCTCCACTAATTCCTCCTCTTTTGTCCATCTTTAATTTTGTTAACTATTTAGAGGGAGAGGATTGTAAAATAAAAGAGTGAGGGAGTAAGAGAGAAGGTTGTGGTGAGTTGATATTGAAGGTTGTGGAAGGTGAGCAACTGCTTTTATAGAGACTAAATTCACCGCGTGATTAGCTTAATCCAAATTCTTAATTAATCATCTATGGTAATTAGCTTAAAGTTTTAATTAATCCTACACTTAACTTTCGTATTTATACTATACTAATAACACATGGGGCTGTGGTATAACACCTTCACGACCTAACCATACAATAACATATGGAGAGACTAGAGAGTCTCCGATGCATTCATACAGTGTCATTTAGTTTCACATACATACGCATATATGTTTGTTTTTATGAAATTTAAATTTTGGATTTGGATAATATATGATCACCCAATAAGTAAAAAAGACCACCAATGGGCCATATATATATGATTTAATTAGTGCTTTTGCTGTTGAACCGAACTTAAGTCATTGATTTGTGTCAATTCATCTAGTTTTACTTACAGAACTCACGTTACATATACATATATATATATATATATATATATATATATATATATATATATATATATATATATATTTATTCGTTTTTTATTAACCAAGGATATCCAGCGGGCGAGATCCATTCGACTAATCCTCTAGGACCTATCCACTGGGGACATGCAAATCCGGTTGATCTACATGGGAGGTAAAGACCCACGCCACATAGCCATATTCGGAGTTAACAATTTCTCACCGTAAGAAATTCGATCCCTGACCTGGATCAACATGGCAACTCTTTTTTTTTTTTTTGATCAAATAACATGGCAACTCTTTATCTAATGGAAACACAAAGTGGTTAACTCGCATTATATTTTAAAGTCTCACCTTGTTTTTCTGAATTTAGTTATAAGTCTAATCTTAGTCGTCTTGGTTCCGTCATGAAAAGCACATACAGTTTAGTGCGCAAACACATATATTTAAATTGCACACTTCTGTTGCTATATAGAAAGAAAGAAACATCAGATTGCACACTTAAGTTGCTAGGTCTCTCCTCAGCTTCTTATAAAGGAAATTCAAATAACACTTAAAGTAAAAAGTTGTTTGGAATGGATCAAGAGCTTCTGAATCACAGCATTCAGCGCATTTCAGTTCGCACAAATGGCTCTAACACGTTCGTACCTTCATGGTTTCGCTTCACCGTCCGGCAATCCAGCCACTTCTTCGACTATTTCATCTTCGAGTTGCAGCTTCACATGTGGTTTGTCACCTCTTTTTATTCTTTGTCATATTCCCTTAGATTTCCATTATTTTATTTACTCTGTACTTCAGAACATTATAACTCAGGGTCGGTCCTAAGATTTTGGGGACCTTAGGCGATTTTTAAAAAAATTCAACTATTTTTTTTAAACTAATTTGGGGGTCTAAATAACATTTTTGGAGGGCCTATATATATAACTTTTTCAAAATTTTCGGAAACCTGAAGCGAATGTTTCAACAGATTTGGTCCAGGACTGACCATGCATTAACCCTTATGGGGATGGATATTAAAATGAATATATATATATTAAATACAAAATTTTAAAAATAAATTGAATTTAAAACATAAATCGAAATTCCAAAAATAAATAATCAATGATCAATCACATTAATAAATAAAACTAAGGCAAGCTTTTTTTAAAAAAAAACATGGTTTACAATTTGGAAAGAAAAAAAGAAATTGTGTTATATAAACTATAAGAAAATATAGTATTAAAAAAATATCTTCGCATTATTTTTTAGAATTTCAATCGTAAAATATGTCCAAGTCTGTAGTATGAATGATTATCAAGTTCGAGATACAAGGATAGCTAAACCAACTAAGCTGAATTAAGCGTTAGCTTGATTCGAATTTTCAGACTTGGTTTACATACCAGCTTAAAGGATACATGAACAGAGTCGAAGCTTCAACGGATTAAATTTTCACTACTGGGATTCCTTGTCGTTTTTATAAGTCAACATCATTATCGTACATCCACACACTTTCAAGTCCCGTTGACCAAATAATATTTGATGGTATAACTCGGTAATTAATTGGTAGAATAAATTCTCTATGTACTTTGACAACTGAATGATTGTCCATATTCTTTTGTAAGCATCTCCCAAAAGGCAATCGATAAAGTTTAGTATAGATATCACCTTTAATTGACCATGACGTTAAATAAATGATTCTTGTTTTGTTAAAACCATTTTTACTTGGCTTAATTGGCTATAGGTTACTGAACTGATACTTTATTAGTACATAAACTAAGAACAGAACAAAGAAAGTACAAAGAGATAGAGACAATAAGCTTTTGACTCTAAATGTTCACTCACTCTAATCCCTAACAAATTAAAATCCACTTATCTTAAAAGTAACAAGTGACTAACTCCTAATCTAATTAAAAACCTTTAACATCCAAATTGATCAAGAAAAAGACATTTCACAATTAATTTAGCACATACTTGCTTTTGTTTCCATGTCCACGCTGTTTTTATAAGCCATGAGAGCACCCTCAACGTAAGGGATCTTAACCAAAAGCATAATTAAAAATATTGCAGGTCTCGCTTTTTTTTTTTTTTTTTTGTCACTGAGCAGGTCTTGCTTAAATTCCAAGAGCTGCATCTTCAATCTCTTCCGTAAGAGGTGTTTTAAGGTTAGTTCTTGACTGTTTGCGAATTTCACTAATACGTGGTGATCCAAGACTAGTTCACTTTAAATTTTATTTCTTTTGTTTCAGACAAAAAAAATTAAAAAAAAAATCCTAAAAACTTTTGAGGTTAATGATGCTCTGACATGCATGCGGTTATCTACATCTAGTAAAAAGATGTTTTGATTAATTAGATGAACTTTGATTCCAAATGCAGCTTGAAAACCAATAATAAAACAAATGAATGCAGTTTGGAATAAATAAATAAAACAAATTAATGCAGTTTGAAAACAAATTATAAACAAATTAGACTTATGAAATATAATGAGAAAACTATGTAAAGTGCTAACGCAGTTACATAGACGAAAAAGTTTGTTTCTCTCTAGGTTTTTTTAAACATTTTATATTTTCAGTTAACGATTTTTTTTTTATCTTTGTTTCAGATGATTGTGGGTTCATTTGAAAATAAACTATAACCCAAAACACCAACGCAAACAAACAATCGAGGTGCAGAAATATAAACGAGACATACGAATTAGTCTTTGGAAATGGAAGTTTTAATTATTTCATGCAATCAACTTTTACAACTTAGTACGTAGAAAAAAAATATTAGGGATAATATATCCCACATCGGGAAATCAAAGGGACCTTAAGTAATATATAAAGGGTTAGAGTCAATCCACTTATCACCAATTGGTTTTAAATTGGAATCTATAGTAACCCGATTCTAACATGGTATCAGAGCTCAGATCCCAAAAAGAAAAAAAACCCCAAGCCCCTAATTAATTATAATTACCCTTTCGACCGGGTATATAGGTCGTGTTTAACCTTCCGATTATGTATAATTGTCGTATTTGACTCGTTCGACCGAGTATAACTGTCTTAAAGTTCCGAGATTTATGGCCGATAAGGGCCATCATCTCGAGGAGGGGTATTAGGGATAATATATCCCACATCGGAAAATCAAAGAGACCTTAAGTAATCCCGATTCTAACAAAAAAAAAAACAAAAAAAAAAACAACTAGTACGTAGAAGTTACAAAAATGAATGCGTCGTTTTCGTACCCCACCATGATACCCACCACGAATTACTACATCTGTTTAACATCTGAGGTAAATTATCTAAAAAAAGATTATCGAGTTAGTTCACAATATCTACAAAAGAGAAATAATAATAAATTAGTTGATTAACAAGAGTGGTCGAAATCTCTTCGTTAAAGCATAGTTAAAGAATTTCCATATTTGACAGGGCACTTGATTTGGCGTATCATCCAAAAGTTTAAGTACTCTTAAAGCCATTTTTAAGAAAAACCATTTCTAGTTTTCTGTGGCTGCGATTTAATTAGGTGGAGACAACTCTTTACTTAATCACTTCTCGTATAAGCGCGTCATATGCACTTTCCTAGTAGCGTATTGCTTTATGTTACGTCAAGGAAGGTTTAATGGAAAGTACAAAAAAACAATGCTTATGGGGTTTAATGGCAGTGTCAAGTTGCTTAAGCTTCATTTATATGAGTGGCTATAAAGAGTGACAAGCACACAATCACCAATTAGATGTGTGTGGGGGACCTTGAGATATGAAGGAACACACGCATGTGAATGTGATCCCAACAACTAAATTTTATCAACCAAAATAAAACTGTTTAAATGATTTTTTCCCTCTCTAAATCCTACAAGTTGAATGTTATTTTTTTGACAAAAAAAAAAGTTGAATGTTTTCTTTCAAAGTGAGTTAGGCTACTGGGAAGAAAAAACTAGGTTAATGGCAAGAAATTCGTAGTATAAATAATAATTGCTAGAGTTATTATATGAAATAATCGCACTACTAAGAATAATACGCCACCACACCGGATGCGGTAGGATAGTGGTTAATCACAAGCATTGGTGCTGTCGTGTATTTAATTCGAAATCTGATAGAACGAGTGTCTCACTCTGTTACTGATATCAGTAAAAATTGATTACCAAAAAAAAAAAACTGGTTTCAGACCATAAAAAAAATTATAGTCTAAAATCCAAACTCCTCGTAATGTACAAAAATATAATAATAATATACCTCATATAGTGCAATATAACTCTTTCTTTTTGTCAACAGAAGATTTATTAGAAAACCAAACCAATTACAACAAGGTTTGGAGACATAAAAACACAAAACATAGAAGGCGACCGTGTCTTTATAATATAATGTAGCATGTACTATTACAAAAAAAAAAAATTGGGATAAAAAGTGTATTTATGGAGTAAAGTTAGCCAATAATCCAATAAGATTGTTGCATGTAAATCAAGTACAGCCATATGTCCAACTTGGCCAATTGTTTTCGGCACTGGACCCATCTTAA